GATTTCAAAGGTAAAAAAAAGATTAATTTTACATAGACATTATAGATACAGCTGTAACAAGTTGTTCTCCACATGAACTAAGAGATCTGCTTTTTACATACAAATATACTATGTTAGTTGAGGTTTTCAGCCTTTGGACCCAAATTGAAAGAAATTAATTTCTATAAATTGCACTGGCAAGGAAAGAAAAGAAAAAATGTAGGTGATGATTAAACTACTGAAATAATACTGTACATGTACCTTTACTGCTGTTTCCTTTACCAGAGTCAAGTAGTAACAGCACAGATGGGTCCTGTGTCTCAATATATGGAAGCCATGATTTCACATTATGAAAACTTGATTTCTGAAAGATTATAATGATATGCACTTAAGTTTGTTTATTTGTATTTCATTGCTGTGGAAATAAATAGTACAAGAAAACTCATTCATACTATCCCAATTCGTAAAGAGAGGTACATTGTAAATGTAGGTTAGAAACATAATTAATTCTTTTCTTTGCCATTAAAAAGAGCATGCAATTAGCCAACATGTCTACATATTGCCATGGCTGATTAATGCTGATTGCTGCATGTAAATGGAACCTCCTTCTTTAATTTCTTGTTGAGAAAGTATTCAAGAAATAATCTTGGATTAACTAATAGTATCGCCTCATTGCTATTTTTTCCTACATTTTCATCACCTGCTTGATATTGTATTGATGTCATAGGGAGATATTCTCTGTTGGTCACTTACTGAAATTAGAGGGTTACCATTGTCCTAACAAGCTAAATTTCAAAGCTAGAACTATTGGGAAATCAACTATACAAATCCTGAGCTATAGTTTGACATAAAATAAAAATTAAAGTGCAGATGTCATCAGACGCTGCGTTTCTGACTTACCTCTCTAAGATCGAACGCGATAATGACACTCTGGAAGTTCATGTTAGCAGCAAACTCACATTGAGGAGGGAGAGAGCTTACAGAACAAGCACAAAGTTGCACATCTGCTGTATAATACTTATTTTCTATTTTCCATTGGTACGCAATCAAACTGCCATTTGAAAGCTCTTTTGGAGATGAAAATTCTGTCTTGCACATTTCTGTCGAAGGAGGAATGATGAGATATCATAGAGTTGAGAATGAAAATAATTGAGAGAAAACGTACATGTAATGAACACATTTCTAGCTATTTTACTGAAAAGATAAAATTTTTCATATTTGATCGAAAGTTCGATCTCTTACCACGAATAATATCTTCAGAGGAGAGAAATGAACTACAGCTAACTACAAGCACTTGACCAACGTTATCCGCCATGTTGGACTTTAAATTTACATAATGTCATATCTGATAACTGTATCAGCCGCTGGCTCAATCATATGAGCACTGCGTGTTCATCTGAGATATTTACAACATGGTTGCTTGGAGAAGGAGACGCTAAAAGTCAATCTTCCTTAAAATGGCGGCGTTTTGAACTTTATGAACGCTCAAAAATATCAACTGATCTGCTACATTTAAATCGTCATACCGAGGATGTTTTCTTTGACAGACATTCAGCCAGGACCCACTGATATCGGAGAAATTCTTGTGAAGGTAAGGAGTTTTTAAGTTTCTGCTTCGGCCTGCGAGGAAGTTTTTGCAGTAGTCGTGTGGAAGTTTATGACTGTTTGGCTTTTCAGCGCTTTGTCTTCCCCGTCTCCCTTGATCAGGTTCTTGAACTCAACGAGAATCACAGAATTTACTAGTTTTCTGGGAATGATATATTATCCGGGCACGGTTGCAATAAAAGTTTATGTACACACAGCTTTATTAGTTGGTATTTACATTAATTTTGTACGTTTCAGACGTTAACGTTAAGAAGAGCACTGTCTTTTTCCTCGTTTCAAACTAAGAGATCAGGCATGGGTTTTAAAAAACATCAATCAGCAGTTAAATTCTATCGCTTAACTAAGTTCGAGACATTTATACTTACTAATTACTAACTAAAGCTTAACAAATTCATTATTTACCATTACGCGAGGTAATAATAAAACAGCTGAAATTGAAATTTTTAATTCAATGGAACCGACATGCAAACGAACAAACCTTTAGGTTTTCTGGTTCCTCACTGCAAAAACTGTCGCGATGTTTTTCTTTTTTCCATAATCCATGGCAATTGTGTTACGCAGTGTGATTAAATGAACGGACTTAAATTACACAACTTCATGCGTTAATTTGTTGTAAAATATTTGCAGCTCTGAATAGTGTTTATAAGAGAGAAGTGAATTGCTAAGAATGCTGTCAACCTTAATTGCTCTCCTAAAAAATGCCTTGTAAGTAGGATCTTGACCATATTTATTGGGAGGAAAACTTTGGCATGCTCATTTGTACTTTAACATCACTTATCCTTGGTAAACCCTAACCCCCTTTCATGCTAGGGTTACACGGGGCATTAGCTATGAAGAAGAATTAAACTACTTTGTACAGACATAGTGATCAGAAATACATAACAATGAATACAAGGGCAACAATACGACAATAGTTTCTTGATTTAGGGCTGTCAGTAACTTGGCTTTGACCAATCTCTTATCCAGTCTACAAGTGCAAATGGAATTTTATTAAATTTCATGATATCTTGAATATTTGGGGCTTTCATCAGCCCTGCAACAGTTGGCGCAATGCATTTCCATATAAGGTGACCCGGAATATGAGCTGATAATAGTAGTCGAGGGAACTAATCAGAACACTAGAAATGCAACATTTGGAGTTGAAAATTTAATAAGATATGTTATTGAGTTGGACTGTACTTGATGTTTTATTTTCTTGTCACCTTAAAAAAAATAATTGCATTATTGTGGTTCAGTATGTTGATCAATGTTTAATTGAAGGGGTTGTTCAAGTGAGTTATAAACCTTTTTTTTTCTTTCTTGTGGAGGTTGAAAAAAGGGTGATTTGTACTTTATGAGGAACAAGTTCTAGCTCAATTAAGAAGAATTTCCCTTTTACCCTTACAAGTGAATAAAGTATCTAATTTCTCCCTACAATGTAACACCTGTATCATGTATTGAGGTCAGGAGAGTAAAGGAAATGATCACTAGCAATAGTCTGTTAAACAAATTTTACTCATCAGCACCTTTAGTTAGGAACTGGAGAATAATACATACTGATTGTAAGGTATAGGTACAGCTGTTTGCTGTACGTAACAAATTAAGGGTTGTGTCTCAACTGTACAGTGTGTGTTGTTTCTGATTATCTGTTAACATTGTTTCTTAGGTTCAAGATGATCTGCGACACCTCAAAGAGCAAATTATTTCACAAGGAGTCTCCACTGAAATTATCGACCTCAGGACACTTGAGAGTGCCATTGAAAGAACTGAACAAAGTGTCAGGGTAAGTTAATAACAACTACAACTACTATGACATGACTTAATTTGTTGTTTCCCTATATTTCGGCTTTCTAATCTTTTTGTTTTATGACACCTACTTTAGTCTTAGTATATGTATTTGATGAATTCTGGTTTAGCTGATTTACACTTGTAAACATGCATGAATATTTAATGTAACACACAGGTGTGTGTATTAAATTGAAGCGCTGTGTGGGTATTCTCATGTGCAGTGTGTGGGAATTGCAGGCGTGTCAAGTGCATGTAATGCTGTGGTACCCAGTAAAGATACTGTACACTAGCTTGTATGGACTCTATGGATGAATCATTACTATTTTTAATATAAAATGATTTTCATTATCTAATTTGTAGAGGGATATTAAAATTGTTATTTAATTTTTGATGCACCAGGATAAAGCTGAGCAGATCGTCCACTCCGCCAACAACCAAGTGCTAACTTTACCGTCACTTGAAGGACCTGTTACTGGTTCAACAAAAAAAAAGCAGCAAGAAGCTGTAGGGTATGTCTGTTTCTGTTTTTATCAGATGAACATGGAAAATAATTATTGTACAATTGTTCAGTAATTGTGACCGTGAAAGGCAAAACAGATACTAATGGTTATCTGTTTGAAGGGGTAAACCATTAGTTATCTGTTCGTCATCCATTCAAACGCCTTAAAAAAATCCATTCAAAGTGTTCAACAAACCATTCGAATGGTTGTGACGTCTGTTTGAATGGTTTCGACATCTGTTCAAATGGTTTTTGCATCCGTTCACCAACTAGGAGTGTCCATTCGGAGAACTGCAGCATCCGTTTGAACAGTTTGAATTCTGTTCTGTTCATCCATTGGAAAGGAGAAAATTGCACTTGTAGTTTAATTCTCTACAGATATTCAGTCTAGCGGTTGAAACATCCTGATCCACATCTATGTGACAAAATCGTGGGACAAATGATTAACTCAGCTGTCATATTAAACCACGATGACAACCACCTTTCATGAGTAGTTTCAGACAATGACTATAAACTTTATGTACTAAATAGGCAAACAGTTGCAAAAACGTCATTTCTAAGTCGTGAAAACCTTCAATGATAAGAAAATTGCTCTAATTGGCAGAGGAAAATGGTCAGAACTACATGCATTCACTCCCGATTGATCCCATGACCATGCTTGCAACAACAGTACTACAATAATGCTATCAGCATTTTGCCATATAGCAACTGTTGTTAGGACAATCAATGTTGTTTTACTAAAAAAATCATTGTTATTGCTTTTTTCATTTAAGGGATCAACGTATGGTAGCATTCAAGAGGAGCTCTTCACCAAGAAAAGAAAGGTTGGTTTAATTGTAATCTGTTAACACTTATCATGTTTTGTTCGACAGTTGATGTTTGCTTAGCTATGTAAACTGCATCTGGTACATGTACATCAACTTACAGTGTAATGGCATTGAATTTCATTTCTGTCTAATTCCAGTTTTAGGAGTCTTTTAGAACCAATAGCAATTGCAAAAGAAGGGAATAAACCAGGACCCAATGCCCCTGCTCCTGGGCAACAGGTGTGTACTCAAAGTTGCCTTTTGATAATCTGTTTCAAATTAATGATGATTAATAATTATTAACCATTTAACTTTCAGAAGCGATTAACATGCATGACAAACTTGATTCTCCCATAAATATCCAATCCCTCATACATTATCCAGCAAACAAGATATGAGAATACTCAAACTTGCAAGGTTAAATGTCATCTTGATCTAAGACCAAATTCTTCTAACTAATCTGCAAGGAAATGTGTAGCAGCTACGAGAGAATCAACAATGAGATCTAGTGAGTTAAAAGATCAAATGGGCCAGTTATTTTACAAGAGTTTTTTCTGGGTTTATTTCACTGTATTAACGAGCAGTGTCACATTTTTAGGAAATGGTTGACAGAAATGTGTCTTACAGAAATGTATCTTTATCGCATGAAATTAGGGTCAAGTACCTCTGAGCTGTACTGTACATATAGTTACATTACAAAATTTTTGTCAAAGACCAAGTTTTTCTTAAAAAACACTATGCACCTTCTGCAAAGAATTTTCTGTGCATGATTCTGAAATGTAAAATGGCAAAAATGCTTGTGCTCAAAAATGATCTCAGACTGACCATCCCAAATTGTTCAAATGTGTAGTGATGCATCACTGATGTTTGCCATCATTTTTTTTATTATTTCTTTTGCAGGCTAGAGATCTTAGAAGTTTAAAAATCATTAGTAATCCAGCTCATCCAGCAGCAAGGAACATCCTAAGTGAAAGATATGGCATTGCTCTTCCATATATTGTGGATAAACATGAACAACCAGCTCAGGTCTGTTAAAAGAAGTGGTAATAATGATAACAGTCCATAAAAAGTGGCACACTAGGTGCAGCAAAGTTTATACCAGTGATTTTCTTACTGCATTTTGAAGTCTCCTATGATCTTTTATGGAACAGAACCAAGCATCAACCCAGAATCTTTTCGCTTTGTACTACAGACACCAGAAGTTGTTAATATTGACACCGTCTATGGATCAAAAAGATCATAAGTTAAAGAACAAATCAAAATCCATGCTCAATTGATTTAGAAGATTATTAATGATGGTAATAAGACTGAGTCCAATTTGGTCTGTAATCATACAGTCAGGTGATTAACAAAATCAGACGACTGCAAAGCGAGAGTCCAATTTGTTAATAAAGAGTATGATTACAGGATAGAATTGGACAACACAAAGTGTTATTACCAATTAATCAAAACAATGACTGAAACTGAGAAAGAAACTGGACATCAGTTATACGTTTTCATTAAAAAAAAACAACAGTTTACTTGGCAAAATGCAGGACAACATTGCTTTACACATGCATGCAGGCATGACATGTTGACTGTCCAATTACAAGCATGATGTGTACACTATCCTATTAGTGTGCAAATAGAGCTGATGATAACCAATTTTGTTCAAGAATTTTGGTATAGTTTTGATTAATACCAATAAAATCTTAACACTGCATGGTAAGGGCCTTAACTATTAGTGACCAATTAGACTACATGCATAAATGGTAATTTGGTATGGTGAGCTTAGTTGATAATGTAAATTGGCCATGATAAAGAGCGAATGACAAAGGGCTAATGCTTGAAACATCATGTAACTTTGAAACTCTTTACAGTGGCCAATTTACATTATCAACCCAATTGATAATACCAAATTACCTTGTTATACTCTCCCCTTGATGCATCACCACAAATTCTTTAGAAACTTTATAACCCCTTTTGTACATAAAAACCTTCAATTGAAACCCTTTTCTGCAGCGTCATGGAGGAAGACTATCTGATAAATAATTATACATCATAATTATACCCTGAGTCTGTCAACTTTAAATTATTTGTAAGCAAGGCTTTTATTGGACTAATTACAGGTTCCTGGTAAAGTTGTCACAGGCTCAACTGTTGAACCAGTCAACACTCTACCCAGAGCCAATAGAGTGGATCCCTCTGTAAGTCAAACTATCTCTTTCATATTAACTTACTAAAAGTACTTCCAACGCTCCATACTGATTTAGTGACTCATTCTCTTTGGCATCTGTAGTGTATGGAGTAGATGTAAAAACGAGATGTAACTTTTATAAAATGTAGTGTAGCTAATGAGCATAATTGTTAAAAGGAGAGAACAACGTTATGTTAAAGGCACAAGAAATTTGTAATTTGCATATAGCTTTCAGTGGCTTTTAGTGGTAATTGGGAGATAGTTGCATTGTAAGTTTATTTTTTAATGGTTGTTAATAAATTGTCTTTTAACTGAATAACTGCTGCACCATTCTGTTTGAACTGATGGTGAAGATATGTGGGCCAAAATGCAGTGTGCAAAAATGGCTCCAAGTTTCTACTTTTATCCTTGATCTATATTCCCTCAAATGTCTACTTTTTGTAACACGAGCTTTTGTGCTGACTGAAAGATTAGTTGCTTGTATGATTTCACTTAATGTAAACACTGCTAAAACAATGATTGTAATTTTTGTAAGCTTAACTGAGAATTCCTTTGTTGTGTTCCCATTGACATGAAATACACTGTAATCATATTCCTTATTGTAAAATAAAGAACCCAGAAAATTTGCTGTGCTCCCATCATATAGCTTTGTAGCCTTTTTGTTAGTGTAATGTAGCACCCAACTAGACATGCATGGAGACATGCATTTGAACTTTATTGAAGCTACGTACAGTAGTTACTGTAATTACAGTTCACCTGTGTCTGGATAACTATGACATTCATTTTCCATTATTTTTTTGTGTGTGTTTACAAATGTATGTGTAAACCTTAATCTCTTACTAAGTAGGATTTGTTGTACTTTTGTTTTAGCTTACCCCACCTCCAATTACAGAGGAAGATGCACAGAAGGGAATTCTGAGTCTAATAGAGCGTGGCCTCATACCAGTAAGA